GTTGGCATTCATGGTTCCCTCAATGAACTGTAGCTCCCCAGTGCTGGCAGCACTCATGCAGCCCCAGACCATGACACCATGCTTGACTGAAGGCACAACACACTTGTCTTTGTACTCCTCACCTGGTTGCCGCCACACATGCTTGACACCATCTGAGTAAAGTTTATCCTAGTCTCGCCGCACCACAGGACATGGTTCCAGAAATCTATGTCCTTAGTCTGTTTGTCTGCAGCAAACTGTATGTGGGCTTTCTTATGCATCATCTTTAGAAGAGGCTTCCTTCTGGGACGACAGCCCTGGAAACCAATTTGATGCAGTGTGCATATGATCTGAGCACTGACAGGCTAACCCCACCCACCCCTTCAACCTCTGCAGCAATGCTGGCAGCACTCATACATCTATTTCCCAAAGCCAGCCTCTGGATATGATGCTGAGCATGGGCACTCAACATCTTTGCTCGACCAAGGTGAGGCCTGTTCTGAGTGGAACCTGTCCTGTTAAACTATTGTATGTTCTTGGCCACCATGCTGCAGCTCAGTTTGAGGGTTTCGGCAATCTTCTTATAGCCTAGCCATCTTTATGAAGAGCAACAATTCGTTTTTTCAGATCATCAGATAGTTCACTACCATGAAGTGCCATGTGGAATTTCCAGTGACCAGTTTGAGAGAGTGAGAGCGATAACACCTGCTCCCCCTTCACACCTGAGACTTGTGAAACTAACAGGTCTCGTGACACCAGGGAAGGAAAATAGCTACTTGGGCCCAATTTGGACATTGTCACTTAGGGGTTTACTCACTTTTGTTGCCAGCGGTTTAGACATTAATAGCTGTGTGTTGCGTTATTTGAGGAGACACACATTTACACTGTTGTACAAGCTGTACACTCACTGCTTTACATTGTAGCCAAGTGTCATTTCTTCAGTGTCATCACATGAATACATATACTAAAATATTTATGAAATGTGAGGGAGTGTACTCCTGTGATATACTGTACAATACATACATACATACATACATACATACATACATACATACATACATACATACATACATACATACATACATACATACATACATACATACATACATACACACATATCAATGTGTGCAAACTTTACAAAGTAAAAGAGGAAAGAGCTCTTCCCCAAGGGCTTGCTGTCTAAAACTAAGCAGAATAGACACCAGAGAGGATGAAGAGGGAAATGGAGATGAAGCAAAACAAATAATTATTTCAGGTATACATAGGTTGGCTTCTTTCTAGTAGAGTACTAAGACTAGAGGACTGTTTCAAAGGCTTAATGGAAAATGCAGGCTTGGGGTGTTGATATGAAAAATGTAAATACCTCACAGAGATATTCTGGAAGGCAGTTCCAAGCATAAGAGATAGCAAGAAAGAAGTTAAAGACCTTAGGAAATGTGAGAGAAGAGTTGAGTGCAGATCACTGGTAGAAAAGTCTTGGAACAGCAGCAGAAATGTGAGGGAAGCAAGGCTTTACATAATTTTGAAAAGAAACTTCTTTCCATGGGATTATTTTTGCAGAGGAAAAAGCAGCAGAGGTGAATATTAATGAATGGGCTTTGTTCTGCCAAAGCCTCTGTTGCTATTTGCACTAGGGTATGGTGTATTAAGGGGTGTTTCTTTAATATAACATAAAACTGCATTAATATAAAATACAACTGCACCTTGGAAAAGACCTTGATGGTAGGAAAGTGTGACGGCAAGAGGAGAAGGGGACGACAGAGGATGAGATGGTTGGACAGTCTCTGCGAAGCAAC